GATAATTTCATATATGCTTTCATTCGGAAAGTGAAGTATGTGTAGATATAACATTTTATTTTCTAGCATTGCCATTGAAAAGCATAGTTTTATTACTTCCTTTTTAAAACTGTTTATGAAGAGAGAATACAATGCAACCATTCTGAATAACACATATAAGATTCAGATTTAAGAATTCACATATCGTAATCGAGACGGGAAGCTATATGAGGACCTTAGGAGAACGCATAACTTGTCAGTTGACACGATTTATCATCAATGAAGATCTTACCGGACCCGAGCAGCGCAAGGTCGAAGGGCCCGCCAACTGGTCTTGTATAAGAAAGTTGAGGCGTCATGGGTGACCAGCGGGGTCATGCATCCTCATTAAGATGGGGGACGGGTGGCCAACAGCACTTCGATGAAGTGTGCAAGTCTACTAAACTCAAGGTTGTGATTAGTCTGAGTCAAGACAAATGAATACTATTACAGTCATGAGATAACTTGTTTGAAATACCCATAATGCCCTTGCACGATCTCATGAACAGTTACTGTCGATAGTCATCATGACTCCATGCTTTACATATGTTAACATCAGTATAACTGAGCATAAAACTGTGTTGTTTACAGTAACATTGCGCTTTTGCAGAGATTCACATGTGATGTAAATGAACAATTTATATGATTTAGATATATATGATAATATGTGCTCATGAAGTTGTCAATGCCTCCCTTCACGTCTTCAGTCAGTGACACGCACCGCCAGATGTTAACGATGTACGCGCTGCGAATGTTGTGAAGCATGTGCACGTGAGTGTGTGGGATGCACGAGCAGTGTATCCGTGCTCTACATGCTATGTAACGGTTCTGTCCACTATAGACAGACAACATGTACTTATAATAGATCGTCCATATAAGTAAACTGTGAGCTTCCTCCGATGATAACGAGTCCCATTGTACCAACTTGATGTTTATGCATACTATGATTTTGCTTGCTTGGTTCCTCATTTCATTAAAATGCACATACGAATACACATTTGTTTGCATCTCTAACCAGGTGTAATCTTGAATACGAGTGGACGTTGCTTAGCATAGCATTGACTACATGCATAATACGTTGTGTAGTATATGTGCAACATATACAGTATTGCAGTATGCATATTACAGTAAGGGCTGGACAGAAGGGCAAATAATATCGGTCTGTGACTGTGATACAGACTGGGACAAGGTATGGAACAGACCATTGTTTGGGTATTTTAATTGTAAATATGATTCAAATAACTTAACCTAGATTTCGATATCCTCGAATGTACATTTGGATGAAACTGGAAAATATACATACGCTCAATCACAAGTGTCTCCAGGTCACTGAGAATCATTTGTGTAGGCCAATAGATTTGTACAAAGGCCAATAGATTCGATCACAATACTTTTCATTTTACATCTTCTTTTCTCTTAACATGCTGACCTCAAAACTGATTTAAATTCTAATCGCTGATTAAAGAGTAAGACAATAAATAGTATGCCAAATTATCGTTACCATGACAACCCTGTGATATTTCACCTTATGTAAGAGAGCAATACATACGATGCTAGGTATGGCAGTACTACTGCAGCTGATAGTGTCTGTCGTAAAGTTTAGTAAGTTGCTTCAACGCTATCACTAATCACTGGGTATGTATACAATTATATGTGTGATGGAGGAGATCTTGCGTCGCTAGTTTTCCCAATAATCTGAATACATGTATGTAGCGTGAAACCGGCAGATACCTATAGAAGAAAGTGTTTGCCCTACCTGTAACAACGATGTCCCATGTCTATAGAAGGGATATAATATGGGGATGAATGGCATGTACTTTTATCTTGGCCCGTTTATGAAGATAAATACTGCGATCTTTCACAATAATCTCTCTGGCTATCAGATTGAGGGTACTTTTTAAACATAACTGGTATTTCAATTATGTATTTATACAGTAACATTCTTCAAACGTTCTCCACATACGTCCGTCAGATACATCGCGCACTACCCCTTTCTCTTTTGGTCTCTCAAACGACTGTTACAAGTTCGGAGAATCCTGGTCAAAGTTGAAACGTCTTAAGACTATTCCCTACTATTCTGTAACATGCACATTGTACCTAAAATGGGTAGAGCTTCCGTTCGGGGGAATATCAGAAGGACAGCGATACACTTGTCTCCAATGTTGTAGAAGACACTCCACTCACTTAGGAAAACAATAACCCAATGAGATATTGCATAAATGTCGGATTCAATTTTTTCGGCCCCTATCATATGTGAACATGCAAGGTCTGCGTCTATGTCAGACTAAAGGTCTACGAGTTGTTTAGCAGCACTGGGGCGTAATAGTCATATGGGCCTGCTCCAAACAACGGAATATATATCTTTTGAGAAGGACTTTTCCGACGGGTAAAGGTACAGCAATGCAACATTACGAAAAATCTCTTTTTTCACTATTTTTCATTTCATGTCTCACAGAATATATAATTTGATGGGCGAGAGGTTTTAATATCGTTCTAACTTAGTCGAATTAAGTCAAAATGAGCTGAAATTTGTGTAATGATGCTTATAAACATACACTCATTCATTTACAACCTCCAAAACATGAAGTCTGAGCGAAATTAAACATTCTCGCCAATGGGCCAACATATTTTTCGCCCATGGGCGAGATTTTTTAATATCGCCCTAAGTTAGTCGAATTAAGTCAAAATGAGTTGAATTTTGTGTCTTGATGCTTATAAACATACACTCATTCATTTACAACCTCCAAAACATGAATTCTGAGCAAACTTAAACAAATTTCGCCCATGGGCGAGCGAGTTTAAATCAAAAGTTTTCGCAAAAATTTTTTTTCATTTTTTCATCCTTGGCATATATTCATAACAACTGCATGTTTAATTTGGTCAAATCACTTGTCAGAAAGTCAGAAAACCCACAGTGTGGAGAGTTTCTGGACTTTTGTGAGTCCAGAATTAAATTGTGACGTGTTATTGACATTTGTTATACTGTTAACACAGCATGGCTAAGAGGTGGCAAAGTCTTGCCGCCATCAGTAACATTTGAAACAGATACAAAATATTCATTTAATGTTTGAGCTTTATCCAAATCTGTAAAAACTGAAGGTATCCAAGAATCATCAGTGACAAGAAGGAGAGTGGGCCCCGATGAAGTACTAACCACCTGATTGAGTAGACTGAGGTGATAAATAGTTACCAAAATTAGAATAAAAGTTTCCCTTGGCTATTCTTTTCAGATTATTTACTTTATTCCTTTGCTTTTGTATTTAAATAGCTCAGAAGTATTCAGAGATCGAAATGCTTTTTTCCTTAGACGTTCTCATTTCTTTTAAGTATGTTACGAGGGGCGTTGAAAAAGTAGTCAAACTAACTATATTCTCGTTGCCCAATGTTTGAAAAGAAGCTTCCATTTTATTTTGAAGGAATCATTAGCAAAGTCATATCCAAAATTTCATGTGGGTAATGTGGTTAACGAGATATAAGTCATCACAACATTTTGGTATTATGTTTCTTGCAAATTTTCAGAAAATGGAAAACGATCTCCCATTTGGTATCTAGTAATAGTAATAGTCCGCTTATATGGCACTCACATCCAGGCACATTGCCTGCTCACGGCGCTACGTACATTACTATCCCCGATCATAGGACACTATCGTAGTTTCCGATACTTTTTCAACTCCCTGGGGATTGTACAGCCATGCTGCATGTTAGGCGCAATGAACTAAACACTCACATTGCCAGCACATACTCACGGTTACCCATTTTACAGCTGGGTGAACTGAGACAGTGTAGATCTAAGTATCATGTCCAAGGATACTACGCAAATGTGCCCATCTCGGGAACCGAACCTCGGTGCCTCCTCGAAACAGGGCCTTCAGCGTGATAGGCAGACGTCTTACAACTGCACTATTGCGCTATCTCTTGGATAATGGTATACCCTCAGATAGTATCATATAAAATATGTTCAGCATAGTATTGGATGACTTCCCGTCATCATCAACATTCAAAGATTTGGATTGCTTGATTAACATTTAGACGGGGACTGTAGTTTTTAGGACACCCTCATTTTAAATTTTCAAAAACATTGTGTCCAGATATACAACATATTGAGAGCTGACACTTGTGTGACCATTCAGTATTTAGTTTGAACCCTTGACACCATGTATGAATAAGTGAAAACTTTAGGATGAGTTATATCCTTATGATGACGTCAACTGAAAGGGGGTGGGTACTGTCTCCAAAACAAGCCCTTTCAGTAACATGAAGGGGGAGTCACTTGAACAAGCGATTATAGTTTAAAATTGCTTGTTTGTGCAGTTTAATATCTATGTTTGACTTTTACCACATACAACATGTTTTTTGCATATTTTGTTTCAATTGGTGTAGGGGGATTCCCGCCAATACAACTTGATATAAAATTGGATCAAAATCTATTAATTCTTTCCTAAGTTCGCGGCTACCAAAACTGTTACACCTTCGCTGTGACCTTTAAAATGACCTCAAGGTCACTAAATTCAAGTGGTGTCGGTGAATCTTGCCAATATACCTTGGTACCAAATTTGGACAAAATCCATGATTTCTTTCTTGAGTTATCGCCCTAACAAGCTTATTTGATGTATGAAATGCAACTAAAAACAAACACCCGCGTATTTACGAGTGATTAAAACTGTTATTACAATTTACGTAAATATTTATTACATTTTACCGCAACGAAAGTTATTACAATTTACGTCAATTTTTATTACAATTTGCGTATTACAATTTACGTCAATTTTTATTACAATTTACGTTTTTATTACAATTTACGTCAAGTTTATTACAATTTGCTGCAAGTATTACAATTTGCGTTTTCATTACAATTTACGTCGTAACAAGCCCACACGGACTTGAAATTGTTTGTCATTTAAAAAGTTGGATATAAACTGAGGCAAACGACCTCTCAATCCGAAGCCATGTAAATCTCTTAAAATGCCATATTTCCACGTTGTGTCATATGCCTTTTCAAGATAAAAAGATAGACACAGCGTGTTGTTAGAGGACAACTGACTGCTGAAATCAATACCTGGCTTCCTAGAAGCTGCAGGTAAGAAAGGATGTTCTCAATAGTGTAGACTGTGGTGACCATCTTACCAAGTAAAATACAATGAAATCAGGGTTGTAAAATATTGAAACGCAACAATTACTGGAGATTTCGAATGACTCATTCATGGATATCTTAGAGTGATCAAGTTTAGTTTTAGGCCGCTTTTATATTAAAGAGGAATCATGGCGAGGGACCAGTGGAATTATCTTTACACATTTTACCCATGTGGGCAATGGAACCTGGGTCTTCCGCGTGACGAGCAAACGCTTTAACCACCAGGCTACCCAACCTCCTATGTCTTTGAACGAAAAACATTATGTAGTATGTATTAAACATTAAATAACACTTTAAAGTCTAATCTCACTACCAACAGACTATTACATGATTCTATTGTGTTTTGCCTCAGCAAGTAGCCCCTTAAACACATCTCACAAACCCACTCTCAATCCTTCCCAGTTTCCACACGTCCGCAACTTCACAAGATGACTCGGGAGTGCCATTTACCAATTAGAAATTGTATACAGATGTTTTCATGACTCCACGTGTGTCCGTTGATCTAGGACCATATTGATTTATGAAATGACACTAGGCGTGTTTGATTGGTATGATTCTATGATTGATTAATTACACAATCAGGTATTGTATCAATGCAGCTGAACATTAGGGTGGAATGTAGGTTAGACGATCTAATGTGGTAACGGCATGTGCTGTATACGGAAATTGTCATGGTGCAATACATCAAGATATGGATCTGTTCTTTACCAACAAGCAACTACATCAAATATCTTTCTCGCAAGCATAGGATTTTGTGTATGTCACACCACTGTCTCTCCACCGAAACGCATGTTCTTGCTTGCCACAATGTAGTCTTTGTTTGCTGGGATATTTTTCGGGTAACCTGGAGCCCAAGCGAAATAGGTCATTGGTCGACTATCATGGTATACCCACTGCCCTTCTGTTGCCACATCTGATCCATCGATGAAGTAGCCAAATGTTTTGCTATCTGAAAAGATGAAAGCGTAATGTCAGAACAGACTTTGGAACAACAAACATTCCATGTTGTCAATATTCATCAGTTTCCCTCCGTATTTGCTACATAAAGAATCTATAGTCCTTGTTACATATCATGATGTTTTGTGGCCATACTCAATTTTACTTAGGATGTAAAGCGGATGCATTTTAACAAATCATGGATCCGTATTTTCTACATAAAGAATCTATAGTCCTTGATACATATCGCGATTTGTTGCAGGTATACTCGATTGTACTACGGATATAAAGCGAATGCATGTTTGACGAATTACGGATCCAAATAACTACTTTGAAAGTCCCATCATACCCTCATGGTCCTTCAAGATCGTCGCCGGCAATAACGTCTAATGTCTACTTGCCTACTCACTATTCATTCATCATAATCAACCAACTATTACAAGTAACTAATAGATTTTCTTTTGCAAATTTGACACATCCCACATGGTAAAGATCTATGAAGAGATCTTTTAGTGATTCATCAGATGACACATCACTGTGTATATTCCTTCATATGATGACTGGACATTTTGACTGGACATGAGTATATCTGCCAATTTTTCCTTTTAAAAACTGTTAAAATCCCCAGACATCCCAAAGCGACAGTTCTTCACTAGACGGGCTTGTGTAGCGAGAAATATTAATGGTTTTGGAGTTCTGTTCCTAAAAAGAGCAAATACATTTATTTTCAGTACGAGTCCAACTCATTTAAACATACAAAACTATCTAAAAGGCACCAGTTCCCCAATAAACACTGGTCGGTGTAGCGCGTTTCCACAAGCATTTGTACATTTTAATACAGATAACCAACCGACAGAAAATACCTGGGAAAACTCCGCCAAACATAGTTTGTTTTCTTTGAAGAGCAATACTTTCGCATCCAGTAACGTTATAGAGGATTAAATAATAATCTGGACTTAGCCCAAGATGCTTCCAACGAGTCTGATGAATGCGCGATCACTTTAACACTGTGAAAACTGTACTGGACGTACTCTGTTCAGTGAAGAGCAATGTTACTAGTGTGGTTATCCTCTCTAATTTAGAATTCCACCCAAATGACCCTTTAAATTGCTGCTTGTGAAAGACTTCTTTTCTATAAGAGAGACTGCATTTCGCATCCTGCCACGTATCAGAGGATTAGTTTCCCACCTGTAGAGGCTGTGACCTGCTTTACAAAGTGACTCTGCTTGTCCGGAGTGTCAATGACAAGAAAGTGTTCTCCTCTTGATCTACAGTCAGCAAGACTCTCGATGTAGGGGATCTTGTCAAGATGAAGCTGATAGCAAAAGTTTAGGAGGCGGTTGTGGATGTAGCCGGGCGGACAAGCACCTGTCAAAGACCAAAGGGGACATGAACAGTTATGGTTTGGATTTAGTTTGCTGCCTTCTTCGTTTGATCCAGAAATGTTAATGGAAAATTTGAAAACTGAAAGCATGGCAATACCAAACATATGCAATGTGCTAATATGATGTCATGGCAATGCCACATCAAAATCTTGTAACGGCATCATAATGTTAAGTCATAGTCCAATATAAACTGCCATATAGCTGAAATAACTAAATACGCTACTCCTCTTTGAAACGTATAAAGGTCTATTCCATTATCTTGTTCATCATATATGTTTGCTGTTTACCACCGCACTCCAGTTATATGGCGGCGGTCTGTAAATAGTCGAGTCTGGAATAGACAATCCAGTGATCAACAGCATGAGCATCGATCTACGCAACTGGGATACGATGACAGGTGTCAACCATGTCAGCGAGCCTGACCACCCAATCCCGCTAGTCGCCTCTTGCGGCAAGCATATGTTGTTGAAGACCAGTTCTAACCCGGATCTTCACGGGTCTAATAATGTATGTATATATAAACACGTTTGACAGTACACAATGCCTTTCAGAAAGTGTTCAGAAAGTGGTCAAATGTAACATGTATATTTCGGAAAACGTACCTGAACTAAGACTGTAGTACACCGTTCCCGCCTCCTCTTGTCCATCCTGGGGCGACATGAACAACACGTCATGGAGCTGACACCGTCGATGTTGTCGTCTGTAGAACACAGACACACACGCCTCGGTCATAAGACACAGCGACACACATTCAACAGAGCTTTGAATATTGGAAACTTCAGATAGGATGTCAGTTGTTATTTTGATATTTGTGAAATTTTCCCACTTATGTCCAAAACCTGTCTTGACTAAAGGAGACACTAGGTTTGCAAGATAAGTCAGCACGAGAGCGATTACACAACACTCCATAGTGTACTGAACGTCCTTCTTCTGTCACAGAGGTTCAATAAATAACCAGTTATTCGGCCCGATTTTGTAATCTCATTAGCTTAAACACAAACGCAGACTCGTACTTGCTCATCATCTGCGAAAATAAATAGTTTACCCCCCGGGTTAGACGTGTAGAACAAAGGGAATATTGATTGATTCGAAACTCATCAAATACAGTATACAGTGTTCAGTGAGAATTCAACTCCTCTTAAAAGACAAGGAGAAGTGAATCGATATTATTGTATTCCTTGTCAGGTGCTTACACAAAACGTAATCTGTAAAGTAGCACACATGCGGCTTTAAAGAATGAATACACATTGTGACTTGTAAGTTGTTATGCAAGTTATTTTTCAAATGACGGTGATATGTTGATCATTTATTATGTTTAACACTGGACAATGTTCACTGTCCTGAACTGACATTTTACCATTCGTTGACCGTCCGTTAAACACTGTTTAAATGTATCACATAATGAACATGCAATATATACATTTGGTTACAAAATGAAACCTTTAACGACTTGTCAGTGAACAGCAAACAAAAAGAGTTCTGCTTCGTTAACACAGGTCAGCCACATGCATCAATTGGGTTGTTGGCTTTCGTAACCTACTGCGCGTAAACTCAAAGTAGTGGACAAAAGTGTCCAATAAAGTTCTATTATGAAGAGCCTCCACCTTTATCAGATCACATACTTCCTCCTCATTGAATTTTTATATATCATCGACGGTGAGACGAGAGACGGTGCTTGAAACGATTGTCCGACATGGTTAGTGTGTGGTGCCAGCTGAAAATAGCTACAGACAGATAAACGTATGTCTGCAAGGTGTAAAAATTTAATATTCTTTGGCCAATAAACCAGTCAATAATCAGTCAATGTGTGTGTGTGTGTGTGTGTGTGTGTGTGTGTGTGTGTGTGTGTGTGTGTGTGTGTGTGTGTGTGTGTGTGTGTGTGTGTGTGTGTGTGTGTGTGTGTGTGTGTGTGTGTGTGTGTGTGTGTGTGTGTGTGTGTGTGTGTGTGTGTGTGTGTGTGTGTGTGTGTCGCATAACTGGCCTACCTAGGACTAGTGCGTCAAAGTTAACTCAGCTTGAACTGGTGGACTAAATTAATGTTTGTATAACGAAGTTGTTTTGAACCTATTATTTTGCTCTGTGCTCTGTGACAGAGGGTTCTCTTTGACGCAGATATGTTCTTGGCGTCTGTGATCATAAGTCAATACTGAAGAGTAAAAGTACCAGAATATATTTGTAAACATCAAGTACTGAATGCTATTCAATATTTAACAAAATTCTTTTAGTTTTGACTGCGTCAATTCTAACACGGATCCTCACGGGTCTCATTATGATGGAGCCCAACGATAGCGGTTGAATAGTGAAACATGTAATTACATTTTCGTGTTTTTTTCTTAACTCCTAAAGGAATGAGATGTATAGTTGAACACGGCAAAGGAAAAAGGTTCTTATTTAGTTCTTACACGTAACGAGAGAACGAACTGATGCTGACCTGTGTGCTGTTTGTGTGGATCTCTTTGTTAGTCAAGTAGGACGTTAATGTGCATGCATACAGCGAAGAAAACGAAGCGACTTTAGCCTGGAGGGAAACATATACTCCTTTGTAATCATCCTCCACACATTTCAACAGTTTTGATCAATATCAGTTCTCATGAATGTGGAAAACGTCTTGTTGCTTCAATTTAGAGTGAGTGAGTGAGTTAAAATTTAATGTCACATCGGCAATATTTCAGCCATATCGTGACTAAAACTAACTCTAAATTTATAATACATACAGATAATATATAAAACCCTGTCAACGAAGGACAGTAAAATAACTAGATTATCACAAAATGAATAAAAACTAGCACATAACTTTAAAAGTAGAAAACTAGTTTTGGACAATACAATGTAAAACTGGGCAGGTAATCCCCAACAACAGAAGGTAGATCACCATACTAGGGACCATGGGGACTTACAGTGCCTTTGTTACCTGCATGGACCCTAGATGGATTTACACCATCCCTTCAGCCATTGGCAATTATACTGAGATTCAGCCATACATTAAAAACACAAAAATACTACGATTAAAAACCTGGTACACTTAAATTGATTAAATGTTTTGGGACTTACGTACGCTTCTATTTAGATCAATATCATAAAACATATATGTACAATTATGTTATATGGCACGTGCATCATGATATTGATTGAATTAAGTCTTTTTTTGACGATTCTATGTATATATTTTGTCAGATGAAATATTTTCGCAAGTCAAAAGTAACTGTAGACATCACCCTGACGGATTTGTTGTCAAAATTTTACTCTGAGTACAATTGTTGACCAGTACCCGCAGAAAGTGGAAACTTAACACAGCAATAGAAACACTGACTAGCTCGAAGATAATATCATTAGCCTGTGTTTATAAATCGCTATTAACTAGTGATGAAAACGTAAGACATCCTCCTGCGTCAACAATGACACCCGTTGCCAATGAGGGCATTAGTCTGATAAATTATCAGGTTGCATTGGACACAACTTTTGAAACTGTGAATGTCATGCTATTGGACGACGTAGGATTGTGATGTACTGCCAATGACCCAGACCTTTAGCGCTTTGGTTCACGTTTACAAGTACTGTGCTTGCAAGCGCAAAACCAAAGCCAAAGACCACAAAGTCAGTGCACTTTGACGCTTTAGACAACTGGTTCAGTTGTGCCTGCTTCGTGGATTAAGGGGTATGCATTGAAATTTGTTTATCTGTTGCTTTGCGCCGCACTTAAAAATATTCCGGCCATATGGCAGCGGCCTGTAAATAATCGAGTCAGATAATCCAGAGATCAACTGGGATACGATGACATGTGTCAACAAAGCCTTACCACCCGAACAGGTATGTCGCCTCATATGACACTCATGGGTTGCTGGAGACAAATTCTAACTCGGATCTTCATGGGTGTCAAAAAGACGACAAACACGATGAATATAATCCATAGAAATTTATTTAGACACAAACACTTGACAAAATATATGAATGAACCACAAGTTAAGAAGTCTGACACCTTAACAAAATGCCTTCAAAACAATAAAACACATTTAATCAAAACTGTAGTCATGAATCACAATTTGCCAAAGAAAATAACACGAAAATGGCACCTGCATGTTAGTGGACGACTGGCTGCTGAAATGAATAGCTGGCTTCACAGAGGCTGCATGTAAACAAGGATGAACTAAATAATGTCGCTTGTGATGATCAGTTCAAATATTAGTACAATAAGCCCCTTTAATCACCCCGTTGTCAAACAGTCTTTGTGGAAGATTTTGGTCACTCTTTGGAACCCTTCAGCATAATTGTGAAACGGACGAGGCTGTTTGATGTCTTCTTTTACTTCTAGTTCGCAATACCCGTGAAGGTCCTGGTTAGAATTGGCCTTCAGTAGCCCATACTTGTCGTAAGAGGCGACTAACGGGATCGGGTGGTCAAGCTCGCTGGCTTGGTTGACACATGTCATCGGTTCCCCACTGCGCAGATCGAGGCTCATGCTGTTGATCACTGGATTGTCTGGTCCAGACTCGATTATTTACAGACGGCCGCCATATAGCTGGAATATTGCTGAGTGCGGCGTAAAACTAAACTCACTCACTAGTTCGAAGTTGTTAAATCGGAGGGATGCACTTGGCTATTACACCAATGTTGGATGATATGAGATCAATGAATGTATGCATCCGAAGATACACTTTATGGCCCCTTTCCCGCGTATTAATTTCACATATTGTGATATATATCACCTCTGAAGCTCATCGCCCATTTAACTGTGACCACGGTTTTGTAACCTAGTCGTTCTGGTGAAAAGGCCTTGGTCGTCCATGTCAACATCTGTTATCAACCAATATCAGAAAAACTGTCAGTTTTGTCCAACATATTTTTATGGATTAAACTTCTTTATAATGTCCCTCACGACGTTTCGAGACCATTCCAGGTCCCTTCATCAGTTGATTCATTCATTGGTCATAGTCCCAACTGTCAGTTCACCTGATGAAACGAAAATGGTCTCGAAACGTCGTGAGGGAAATTATAAAGAAGTTTTATCCATAAAAATATCTTGGACATCGATGTACAACTTCTAAATGCCACTAAAAGACATCACCTGTCAGTTTGTTTTTACGATACACTGACGTTTCGAAGTAAGTTTCTAACCCCGACGATGTTAACGTGGAAGCGATGAAAAGCGTGTGTACCAAATTGGGATGTAAATGGAATAATCATTTTCTAAATCCATATCTAATCATACAACTCCATACATCATTACCACATTAACTTACACATACTATGGGTTAAAAACTAACATTTTCCCTGGACGTCAGTTTCATGCATGCCGGTGCGAATGACAAACTGCTCATGTCGCAGTACCACTCTACTGTGGTCAGAGCTCAACCTGACTGGTTGAAGTATTGTAAAATTATTGTCCTCCTGAGAGGGTACGTAAGTCCCAAAGCATTCAATTCCCCTGTGTGGTGTCGTTCCTGATGACTCCATATTCACGTAGGACACACGCTCCATGTTGCAGTGTTGTACAGGGCCTTTCTAAGCACTTCTGCAAAATAACAGTTCATATTGACACACTAGTACTGTATTTGATAAATAAATACTGTACAAATGTTGTATAATATGTATGAATTATTTATTTCTGATGAAGTAGACTGGCTTATCATAATAGGTCCACGGGTATGGCGCTGAATTCCACGCCGCACGGGCATGCTCTAAGCGCATGAAACTTAATGGACATTATTACTTCGGATAACCCTGTGAGGAGCCATAACTGATGTGTTAACAGATGTAATTTGGAAACAAATCGCATGCCTAAGGTGAGACCACATGTGGCACATGTGCTTCGTTGTGGGGCAGGACTGAAGTGCATGCCCGAGGCGTTAACACATTATTACCCGGTTAATGCTAACAGACATATGACTTGTCCCACAGGGTGCCCATTCTCTACTGGTTGAACAGAGGCAATTTATGAAGAAATTTACATGACTAGGGAGGGAGACGTGTGTTACGTGTGCTTCGAATTCGTTGTGGGACAGGACAGAAGCCCCAAAACGTCTCAGAAGTCAGTCCGCCAAACACAGTCACCCTACAAAGGAATCTCCGTGACCAACGTTGCTTAATGGATTTCGGACTTGAGCTCTTTACACAAGGCCACACACCACCATTATCATGAAACCTTTCGTTCTTACACACATGACCTGATAAATACTCTCAGTAAAGTGTAATCATTATATTTGAAAATGCTCACAATGTGCTGACAGTGTCTCTTTAAATCTTCTTGATTTCACTTCATCGTGTGGAAAGTATTGTGTTCTCTGAGGAAAGAAATGATGAAATAAGTTTTCTGTACCTTCGGAGGTCTTCCTGTTCCATCTTCTCCTGTATATGACCACACCAGTCACAGTCCCAGCGATCAGCAACAACCCAAAGACGACACACACAACTACCACTACAGTATTGTCTGAGTGAAAAAAACTTGAATCTTAAGATTTTCACTTAATATCGAACAAATGCCACATTTCTGGTGTCCCCCGCCTTGACAATCCTGGAATGTTGCAAAAGCAAAACGCGGTGTAAAACTAAACACCCTCACTCACTAACAAATGACGGATGTAATATGCACACGCCTCACAATAATCATTATCAGTTGACGATGGTGCATTAAATTCAAAACATAAACTACATTTTTAAGATGTGTGTTGTGGATATATTGTTAATAGAAACTAGTGATCAAAAGAAGCTATACACCACAAAAGGTTGCATAAAAAATCACAAAAATAGAAATATAGTGATAAAACCATACTGAGCTATGTGACACGCGTACAGACATATCCTTACCGGGAACACACGTACAGACATATCCTTACCGGGAACACACGTACAGACATATCCTTACCGGGAACACGCGTACAGACACATCCTTACCGGGAACACGCGTACAGATACATCCTTACCGGGAACACACGTACAGACATATCCTTACCGGGAACACACGTACATACATATCCTTACCGGGAACACACGTAAAGACACATCCTTACCGGGAACACGCGAACAGACATATCCTTACCAGCAACACACGTACAGACATATCCTTACCGGGAACACACGTAAAGACACATCCTTACCGGGAACACGCGTACAGACATATCCTTACCGGGAACACGCGTACAGACACATCCGGGAACACGCGGGAACATCCTTACGCGTACAGACATATCCTTACGGGAACACGCGTACAGACATATCCTTACCGGGAACACACGTAAAGACATATCCTTACCGGGAACACGCGTACAGACACATCCTTACCGGGAACACGCGTACAGACACATCCTTACCGGGAACACGCGTACAGACACATCCTTACCGGGAACACGCGTACAGACATATCCTTACCGGGAACACGCGTACAGACATATCCTTACCGGGAACACACGTACAGACATATCCTTACCGGGAACACACGTACAGACATATCCTTATCGGGAACACACGTACAGACATATCCTTACCGGGAACACGCGTACAGACATATCCTTACCGGGAACACACGTACAGACACATCCTTACCGGGAACACACGTACAGACACATCCTTACCGGGAACACACGTACAGACACATCCTTACCGGGAACACACATCCGTACAGACAGATCCTTATCGGGAACACACGTACAGACATATCCTTACCGGGAACACACGTACAGACACATCCTTATCGGGAACACACGTACAGACATATCCTTACCGGGAACACAGGTACAGACATATCCTTACCGGGAACACACGTACAGACATATCCTTACCGGGAACACAGGTACAGACATATCCTTACCGGGAACACACGTACAGACACATCCTTACCGGAACACACGTACAGACATATCCTTACCGGGAACACACGTACAGACATATCCTTATCGGGAACACACGTACAGACATATCCTTACCGGGAACACACGTACAGACATATCCTTACCGGGAACACACGTACAGACATATCCTTATCGGGAACACACGTACAGATACATCCTTACCGGGAACACACGTACAGACACATCCTTTCCGGGAACACACGTACAGACAGATCCTTACCGGGAACACAATTACAGACATATCCTTATCGTGAACACACGTACAGACATATCCTTACCGCGAACACGTACAGACATATCCTTATCGGGAACACACGTACAGACATATCCTTACCGGGAACACGCGTACAGACACATCCTTACCGGGAACACACGTACAGACACATCCTTAACGGGAACACACGTACAGACCTATCCTTATCGGGAACACACGTACAGACATATCCTTACCGGCACAACACGTACAGACATGTCCTTACCGGGAACACACGTACAGACACATCCTTACCGGGAACACACGTACAGACATATCCTTACCGGGACAACACGTACAGACATATCCTTACCGGGAACACACGTACAGGCACATCCTTACCGGGAACACACGTACAGACATATCCTTACCGGGACAACACGTACAGACATATCCTTACCGGGAACACACACGTACAGACAGATCCTTACCGGGAACACACGTACAGACACATCCTTACCGGGACACACGTACAGACAGATCCTTACCGGTAACACACGTACAGACACATCCTTACCGGGAACACACGTACAGACAGATCCTTACCGGGAACACACGTACATACACATCCTTATCGGGAACACACGTACAGACACATCCTTACCGGGAACACACGTACAGACACATCCTTACCGGGAACACACGTACAGACACATCCTTACCGGGAACACACGTACAGACACATCCTTACCGGGAACACACGTACAGACACATCCTTACCGGGAACACACGTACAGACATATCCTTACCGGGAACACACGTACAGACAGATCCTTACCGGGAACACACGTACAGACAGATCCTTACCGGGAACACACGTACAGACAGATCCCTACCGGAACACATTACACGTACATACACATCCTTAACGGGAACACACGTACGGACACATTCTTACCGGGAACACGCGTACAGACACATCCTTTCCGGGAACACACGTGCAGACAGATCCTTACCGGGAACACACGTACAGACAGATCCTTACCGGGAACACACGTACAGACACATCCTTACCGGGAACACACGTACAGACAGATCCTTACCGGGAACACACGTACAGACATATCCTTACCGGGAACACACGTACATACACATCCTTATCGGGAACACACGTACAGACACATCCTTACCGGGAACACACGTACAGACATATCCTTACCGGGAACACACGTACAGACAGATCCTTACCGGGAACACCTGTACAGACATATCCTTACCGGGAACACGCGTACAGACACATCCTTACCGGGAACACGCGTACAGACATATCCTTACCGGGAACACACGTAAAGACACATCCTTACCGGGAACACGCGTACAGACACATCCTTACCGGGAACACACGTACAGACATATCCTTACCGGGAACACGCGTACAGACATATCCTTATCGGGAACACACGGACAGACATATCCTTACCGGGAACACACGTACAGACATATCCTTATCGGGAACACACGTACAGACATATCCTTACCGGGAACACGCGTACAGACAGATCCTTACCGGGAACACACGTACAGACACATCCTTACCGGGAACACACGTACAGACACATCCTTACCGGGAACACACGTACAGACACATCCTTACCGGGAACACCCGTACAGACAGATCCTAATCGGAACACACGTACAAACATATCCTTACCGGGAACACGTACAGACACATCCTTACCGGGAACACACGTACAGACATATCCTTACCGGGAACACACGTACAGACACATCCTTACCGGGAACACACGTACAGACACATCCTTACCGGGAACACGCGTACAGACAGATCCTTACCGGGAACACACGTACAGACACATCCTTACCGGGAACACACGTACAGACACATCCTTACCGGGAACACACACGTACAGACACATCCTTACCGGGAACACCCGTACAGACAGATCCTAATCGGGAACACACGTACAGACATATCCTTACCGGGAACACACGTACAGACACATCCTTATCGGGAACACACGTACAGACATATCCTTACCGGGAACACAGGTACAGACATATCCTTACCGGGAACACACGTACAGACATATCCTTACCGGGAACACAGGTACAGACATATCCTTACCGGGAACACACGTACAGACACATCCTTACCGGGAACACACGTACAGACATATCCTTACCGGGAACACACGTACAGACATATCCTTATCGGGAACACACGTACAGACATATCCTTACCGGGAACACACGTACAGACACATCCTTACCGGGAACACACGTACAGACATATCCTTACCGGGAACACACGTACAGACAGATCCTTACCGGGAACACACGTACAGACAGATCCTTACCTGGAACACACGTACAGACATATCCTTACCGGGACAACACGTACAGACATATCCTTACCGGGAACACACGTACAGACACATCCTTACCGGGAACACACGTACAGACAGATCCTTACCGGGAACACACGTACAGACAGATCCTTACCGGGAACACACGTACAGACACATCCTTACCGGGAACACACGTACAGACATATCCTTACCGGGAACACACGTACAGACAGATCCTTACCGGGAACACACGTACAGACACATCCTTACCGGGAACACACGTACAGACACATCCTTACCGGGAACACACGTACAGACACATCCTTACCGGGAACACACGTACAGACACATCCTTACCGGGAACACACGTACAGACATATCCTTACCGGGAACACACGTACAGACATATCCTTACCGGGAACACACGTACAGACAGATCCTTACCGGGAACACACGTACAGACATATCCTTACCGGGAACACACGTACAGACATATCCTTTCCAGGACCAAATGGCGAAACAAGTTCATAAATCGCCAAAACGTCGTAAAACTTCCAAAACGAGTTTTTCTGATATAACACGAAATGCACTTGCATACTGACAGTATAAAACAGCCTACGCGGCACGTAAGTAACACAGTAGTAAAATGAACACAAAGAATATGCCACGTTTGAGGCAAATCGAATGAGTGAGAGAACTGTCGGAATGGCCCAGCAAGGAGCTAACCACACCGTCATTGCCAGTATCTTTGGCTGCACCCGAGCAACTGTCATCAGACAAACAAGCAATACCTCAGCCAGGTCTAGGAGTGATGATCGCAACATCCGGACAATTCATCTGAGAAAATGATTTCCTACGGCGACGTCAACGGCAGCGACGTCAATTGGGACACCATATCACTCGACATACAGTGTACCGGCGACTATAAGAACATGGTATTCGAGCACGTCGACCCTACCGTGAAGAGCATCTGACTCTTCAAAACTGACGTCGTCGACTGACATGGGCCAGGTGAGTTCGACGTTGGCCGATGCGTGATTGGCGACGTGTGATGTTCACCGCCCGGGCTCGTGTTTACAGATGGGTAGGTGAACGTGTGTAGAATTGCTTTCAGCACGTTTGACCGTTTGGATCCGGAGGCGTGATGGTGTGGGTGGCGATCTGCGGCTATCTCAAAGCGAGACTTGTGATTATTCATGGCAACCTGAATTCTCGCATTTTGCCGTTTATTCTCCATAACGTGAACATCGTTGTTTTGCCGTGACCATCATGTTCTTCCGACGTGAATCCGAAAGAACAAATATGGGACTACCTGTATCGACAAATCAGAAGTCTTCTCACGACACCTGTCACCGTTCAACAACTGAAAGAATGTCTCTCACAGGAATGTCAACGGATCACGCCTGACGTCATTGGTCGTCTTACGTCATCAATGTGTTTGGGCCTGTATTGAAGCCAACTCACTATTGATTCAACATTTGCTGACATTTTGCAGAAAAAATCTCTGTTGATTGGTGCAAAAGTTCAGACTATGATACCACGTGTCTTTCAAACGGTTCTTCCGGCATTGTATGAAATGACATCATGTACATTTATACAGTAAATGGTCTACTGAAATTAAACAGATGTTTATATATGCTTTTATTGTATTTTCACGTTTGGTCAAACATAGTGTATACTTTCCTTTGAGCACTATATGCCATCATTTATAGAAGCCACTCGAATCTGATATAAATTATAAAATAAATTATTTTACAACAATGTCATGGAGAATATTTCACATCCTGATTTGTACACACCATTCTGTACTTATTTTTATGTGATTTCTTCTTTATTCATATAAATAAACTCAAAAGCAAAAATGCTGTGGAAAATCTTAGATAAATATTGAACAATTTTCAACTACAGTAGAAAGGACAAACGTGAAGGTTAAATTCTAGGTGTAATTCAGGTGTGTGCCTCCTGCAAGGTTGGAGCTGACAACGGCGTCAGTGTCACTGAGCGTATCTGAGAACATAAAATACGTCACACACATCAAGGCTGTGCAGCAAATGTTCTCCTTCTAGCGGTGTTACCTACAAAATATTAGACATCAAAGCAAAGTTACCATGATTGTTTGAAGTTTCAACTGCTTGTTACTGAGAACAAGAAACGGTCATATAAAATGACATACATTATATACAGTGAACTACTGTAAAGGAAAACAAAAACTGACACAAACAGTAGATTGTGTATATTGTTGACAATAATAATAGGTAACAGAAGTACATGCAAGGTTATAAGGAAATACACGACTAAATCTTGGTATCATCAAGAAGTTATAACTGTGTCTGTGTCATCACAATGTTTGCAGTTGCGAGATTTTCATTTCTCGCTGGAATGGGTGACAGGGCGAAAAATGGCGAATGAAATGATATTTTTGGAGTGGCAATATTTTCCTGTGGATGGGATGATTGAAAGAAAGATGTCATGAGAACTGAAATACAATGTAAACATGTAAATAACATAAGTAATATATTGCATCATGAAGCTGAATCTGAAATAGAATTTGAAAGTCCAACATTTTTGTTTGGATAATACGTTCAACGTATAAAAAAATAAAACATACAAAGTTAAAATAAAACATAACCGAAATATGAGCGTGCCCGTGCAAAGATGTAAAACTTCTTTTAATTAACGATTAAGTTGTGACCACAAACAGGTCACAGTACATAACACGACGGAGTCACAGTCATAGTACAATCGAAATTATAGAAAACAGTATAGTCACAGCACATCGCATGACGGATGTGTAGTTACAGCACATCATATGATAGATATAATGTCACATGACAGAAGTATATCGTCACAGCTCATCGCATGACAGAGGTGTAGCTACAGCACATCATATGATAGATATAATGTCACATGACAGAAGTATATCGTCACAGAACATCGCATGACAGACCTGACATGAAGAAACATGACAGACATGTGACTGACATATTACTACAGTTAACAGGTCAACATACCTGGAGCTTCTGGTTTAACAGCGTCATTACTTCCAGGAGAAGGTGTTTGTGTACTCGTGGTTTTTGTAGTGGGAGGGAATGTGGTTGTAGCAACTGCAGATGTTGGTGAAGAGAGAGACAGACAGAGAGGAATACATGCATTAGTTCAGTCACAGTTAGATGATCATGCTCGTGCAAAGATATACAAGTCATTCCTACCACAACTTCAGATATATCTGCCATATCAGTACCTTATTCATCTTGCTATTTAGCACTTTAAAGCCTCGGCTCTAACACTGGGTGGCTGCTACAATCTCATTTGTAGTTGAAAATAAATAACTGATTTAATTACTTCAGCAAGTAATAAACTTCAAAATATGATTATATGACATGTTTGGAAAAAGTGGCTCAAAGCTCCGATCGCAAATTGATCCTGACTATTACTATTAACCACAATACAAGCAGGATACATACACAACAGTATTAACTCTGAGTACCTGGATATATAGTTTCAGACGTCTACAATGCTGTGGAAACAAACACTTTCAAAAGGTTTCTGTCATATACTGAAAAGTTCCACAGACCTCTAAACCCTAGGCACATTTGTCTGTCTAATTAGTAGGAATATAACTTTGTCCAGACTAATCATGATCTTCCAATAGGTTCTTATCTTAGGCACATGGGTGTAGATCTGATATCATCAAATATATAAGAAAAACAGTCATCTGTTCTCACCAACATTGACTTTGAGGGACTTTGGTGCATTGTACGTCATGCCACCAACAACATTGGTGGCAGAAAATGTGTATGTTCCTGAGTCTTCAATTTGGCGATTAGAAAGCGTTAATTCATCGCCAGGTGATGTAAAATTATCATCTCCTTCTTTCTGCCAGGTGTAGGTTGCTGGTGGGTTGGTAACAGCGTTATTCTGGCAAACACCTGTGTTATTATACAGGGACCGCTAAGGTACAACTTAAACCAAGCAGGCATGGACGACATCGATTGAGCTTAAACATTTTGGTTTTTTTGCTGTTTAACGCCACTGCTAGCAATATTCAACTATATTGGCTGCAAATAACTGAGTCTGGACCAGACAATCTCGTCATCAACAGTATAAATATAGATCTTATGCAAAGACTAAATCAACCAAGTCAGCGAGCCTGACCACCAAAACCCGTTAGTCGCCTCTGTTGCCTCTTGGGTTGCTGAAGACCTATCCTAATCCGGATCTTTATGGGTCACAGAGGAAAAGTCTGTCGCCTCTTTAGACAAGCATGAGTTGCTGAAGACAAATTCCTGATAGTTCAACTCTACGCAAATTGAAAGTGAAAGTGTACATTCGTTTTTATTCGTTTTAAATTAACGTTCACATCACATGACAAAGTCTTATCAAAAGCACGCCAGCTGGCTGGTTTCAAAACAACAGTTAAAAACATTGAACTTGTCTGGAGATCGCGAGTCACATACATTACTTGGTGAAGTAAAATAGACATAAGCCCCTTCTTGATATATTTACTTACAGAAAACTGTGATGGTGTCAGTTTGCCGACAAGACTTTGCCCAAGAGTTGCATGTCTCTCGAATCCCGTAGGCTTTTGTGAGTGTAGAGTGGTTTGCAGCACATTGGATGGTCATCCCATTGTCCAGTCTGCTGACATTCAGAGTGACCTGACTTATTCTGTTCAGAGATGCAAGTTCCTGAACTTGATAGGGAGGATTTAGTCTGGGCAGACTTGTGATGTCCACTGGTGTGTTGTCACGGTACCGGAACCGGTACAGCTCGCAACAGCTCCAACAGCCCCTGGCACCGGAACTCAACCTGCTGTCCTTCTGTGTAGCCGGTGCTAAACATGTCAGTTTCGTTTTAGATGATGTGCACAGAACAAAGTTGGAGATTCACAGTGAAACGTGTTGGTGTGTTGCTGTACATTTCACTCATGCAAACCAGATTGAAAGTTGTTCTGCTATTGTTTTAAACTTAATTAAACGTTTTCGGCCTTTGTGCAGCTTGTTTCACATGCAGAGTCTGTCTCGTTAGGAACGTACAATCGACATGTTGGATGTTGGAACGGGACAGTGCATTGTGGAACGACCTCTTGACGTAAACGTTGATGACAGACGTCGATCTGGTCAACCAAGGTCCTTCAACATATCGACTGTGTAACTGAACTGTGGTCAAAGGTCCCTTCAAATTGAAGATATCATTGACAGAGCTACAAGGATTAGAGTGAGTGGACAGGCGATTCGTAATCGGCAACATAGATGGAACCTGCATACCCGACGTCCACGTGTTGTCCTACGTTTAACTGACCGGCACATTGCTACAAGATTTCGTTGGTGTCAAGAGCAGTAGCGCTGGACCAATCGTGGTTGGCAAGTCTAATGTTTTAGACGAATCCAGGTTTACTCTGACTTCCTTAAGCGGCACAACAGAGTGCAGCGTTAGATGGAATGAGCGTTTTCCTGCTATTATACAGAACAATGCTACATGTGGTACCAGTTCCGCGCCTATTCGGACGTCCTTTTGTTTTTAAGGATACCAACACGTGTATTTCAGTATAGAAGTCAACACGACTGCCAAATACACGGTTCGAATTTGACTTTTAAATGCTGGATCAACCCAAATCGCTACATCTCATGTCCTCTTTCACGATTGTAGTGCCCACTATTAAGCCCAGGGCACAGTGATGTCAGAAACATATTCGCCCTGACTATCAAAAATGTGTCGCAGTTCAAAACGTGTATAGATCACTGACGAATCCGATTATCATATATAACTGGCAAGAGTTACTTAAATGCGATATATATATATACAAGTTTTAGTACAAACGTCATCTGAAATGGACGGGTGCAGTAATTATTCGCAATAGGGTTGAATAGATAATAGTTGGAATGGATGCAGTGACTGCATATATGTGTTTCACCTGAGTAATAAGTTAGATCGACGACACAACTACAAATATAGATCCTTTATAAATATCTCAAAAGGTGTAAAATAAATATTTGTATTGTTTAACGAGTGAGTGAGTGCGTTTAGTTTTACGCCGCACTCAGAAATATTCCAGCTATATGGCGGCGGACTGTAAATAATCGAATCTGGAACAGACAATCCAGTGATCAACATCATGAACATCGTCCTACGCATTTGGGATACTTTGACATGTGTCAACCAAGTCAGCGAACCCGACCACTGTTGCATAAAAGCTCATGATGAACCCAGTGGAGCAGTGTAGCATTTTACCCACAGTAATTACTTAACGTTTCAAGGTGATGTTGATAAAATTCACTTACCCAGCAAAAGAAGATTCATGTCAGCTTCTTCTGAAGCAGCCTCGGCAGCAACTGTTTGGTAAGCATCAATACACTTGTAAGGTGCCTCATCCCCACACTTAACACGATCAAATCGCACACTTGTGGAACCATTGGATAAGATGAGAGTTGTCCGATCTCTAAAATTCTGTGTAACACATGGATCATAGAGTGATGAGCTTGCACATGGTCTGAACACTGTAATGTCTGTGAAACCTGGGTCTGTAGCTATCTTCCTACTCATGGTTATTGAAAAAAGTGTTTCTCCTGGATCCACGACATAGTCACACTTGACAGTCACACGGTGGGGTCCTATAGTCCCCGTCTCATCTTTTGCTGTCAGTGTTAATCCATACACATGAGAAATACCTGGAAAGAAAATGTTTGTAATTTAACTGTTAAAAACACCGTGACAGTTGCCCTGCCTTTATATTGAACACTTAAAAGTGTAAAACCCAAGAAAAGGGACGAACATTCTATTTAGATTTGTACTTCAAGTAACAGCAGAACCTCATCTCTCTTTACATCTGACAGTCTCCAAAATTAGGCTGTTAATATGATATTGGCTATTTATAAAGCGTATGTATCAAATCACTTGTGCGCGCTCAGTGCGCTGACTCGTTACATCCAAACCTGCCTGTGAGGCACTTGCTAAATATTGGATGAACAGAGGCAGTTTTTGAACAAATAGACCATATGTGTAACGTTTGCTTTGTTGTGGGGCAGGACAGCAGTCCTAGAAACTATCATAAGTCTATATATAGCTGAGAAACACGGCCACCGATCCAAGGACCCTCCGCGATCAACGCTGCTTAACTTCAACTGATTTGTGATTAGGGCTCTATGCACAGGATCACACACCACCAGATTTAACCTATCCATTTACTTGTAGTGGGTTAGATGACACAGTTTTGCTTCCATAATAGGAAAACACCAGTAAGTAATGTTGAAATTTCACACCTTGGGCGTAAGGACAAAAGTTTATACATAGGTTTTCATATTCCCCAAACACCAGGTGTGTACCTTTTGGTACATCAGTTTAGTTGCTCATGCAGTCAACAGACCATTTACCTGGCCTACCTTCCTCTACTGTGATAGTGTTGCATTTCTTCACTCACTCGATATATATCACTTTATATGCTATAAATTGTAGGTATAATTCATAACTGTTACAGAACAGGGCAACTGGGCCAAGAAAACTCAGTATAAATGTACAAATGAAAAGCTGTGTTTGACAAATTGGTCGCACTGATTTTACGTTTCACGCTAAGGTAATTGCCCAAATATCTCGACTCGACTCCACGGACCTTAGACTCAGTTGGGCCTCTGTATGACCTAAGAGAATGACCTAGCTTCCTGCCCTTCTACACTATCAGTGAGTTACAGCAGGTCATTGGGTACAGCCGACGTACTTCCGTGTAAGGCAGGCGTCAGGCTTTAACAAGTGTCTGCACTGCAGTGACTCGCCGGACTGGTTATAAAACCTGGCGACCTAGCTGGGTGTGTCATCGACTTGATAACAGTCCTGCGTGTGAACATTGTCAACGACAAAATGGGGAACATGACAAAAAATGAACAAATAATTCGAGTATTATCAAAAGCGAAAATATGTTATTTGGTATGAGGAATACGTTCTTCATCACAATCGTATACTTGGTGAAACAGAGCAGAGGTCATGGTCGCGAAAAACGCAACTCGTTGTTATGTCACAATAGATAACTTACCGACTGAAATAAGTCCTATCGTAAAGAGCCACCTTGTGATTATCGCTGCCCGGGTCATGACTTCAACGATGAACAGAATTCACTACAGAACTTGATGTCGATCTGATCATAAAAAGGTCTCGATTATTCATCGTTAAAAGAAACACGTCAGAAGGTCCACCCGCTGACGACGTGAAGGCCACTTTGTAACTGTGCACGCCAGCGTAAATTTCTATCCTGTTTGACCTGAAACAACATCAGGAAGAATAAAAACAGTACGTGTCGACAAGGATCCAATTTGGTTATGTTTTGTTTGTTGTTTAACGCCGCACTCAGCAATATTCCAGGTGAGGTATTCCCGTAAGTAGAAGTTTGTTGTTGCAGTAGTATCTCCTTGATTGTTGTGTTGGTGTTGTTATGAGGGGTTACGTCACTGGGTACTGTAAAATTCTGAACTATGTTGTGAAATATGATTTGAATTTACTGAGTTCATTTACTGAGTTTAGCTCACTGAGATTATAATGATACTGATTAATTTGTTCACTCAATCAGTACCATACAGTACACTTACCTGTGTTACATATTGTATAAATACCATCAAGTTTCAAGAGGTAGTATAATTTTCACAGGCAAAGTTACGCGAGTTTTCTGCCGCTTGGAAAGGATGTTACTTTCATTTTTCCCATTGTGTGTGGCCTCCAAACAGACTACAAGAACAACGAGGATGTTACCAAGTTCATCCGACGCTGCCCTCGTCTGCCTTTAGTTCCAGTGGCAAACGTAAGTATATTTACTGTTAATTTACTATGATACATACAAGGTGATGTGTAAAATGATACATACATGGTGATGTGTACTATGATACATACATGGGGAAGTGTACTATGATACCCACATGGAGATGTGTACTATTATATATACACGGTCAAGTGTACTATAATACATACATGGACATGTGTACTATAATACATACATGGTGATGTGTACTATGATACATACAAGGTGATGGTACTATGATACATACATGGTGAAGTGTACTATGATACATACAAGGTAATGGTACTATGATACATACATGGTGATGTGTACTATGATACAAACATGGTGATGTGTACTATGATACATACATTGTGATGTGTACTATAATACAAACACAGTGATGTGTACTATGATACATACATGGTGATGTGTACTATGATACATACATGGGGATGGTACTATGATACATACATGGTGACGTGTACTATGATACATACATGGGGATGTGTACTATGATACATACAAGGTGATGTGTAAAATGATACATACATGATGATGTGTACTATGATACATACATGGGGAAGTGTACTATGATACATACATGGAGATGTGTATTATGATACATACATGGTGACGTGTACTATGATACATACATGGGGATGTGTACTATGATACATACAAGGTGATGAGTAATATGATATATACATGGGGAAGTGTACTATGATATATACATGGTGATGTGTACTATAATACATACATGGACAAGTGTACTATAATACATACATAGTGATGTGTACTATGATACATACAAGGTGATGGTACTATGATACATACATGGTGATGTGTACTATGATACATACAACGTAATGGTACTATGATACATATATGGTGATGTGTACTTTGATACATACTTGGTGATGTGTACTATGATAGATACATGGTGTTGTGTACTATGATACATACATGGATATGTGTACTATGATACATACATAGCGATGTGTACTATGATATATACATCGCTATGTGTACTGTAATACATACATGGGGATGTGTATTATGATACATACAAGGTGATGGTACTATGATACATACATGATGATGTGTAAAATGATACATACATGGTGATATATACTAGGATACATACATGGTGATATATACTATGATACATACATGGAGATGTGTGCTATGATATATACATGGTGTTGTGTACTATGATACATACATGGATATGTGTACTATGATACATACATAGCGATGTGTACTATGATATATACATCGCTATGTGTACTGTAATACATACATGGGGATGTGTATTATGATACATACAAGGTGATGGTACTATGATACATACATGATGATGTGTAAAATGATACATACATGGTGATATATACTAGGATACATACATGGTGATATATACTATGATACATACATGGAGATGTGTGCTATGATATATACATGGTGATGTGTACTATGATACATACATGATGATATATACTATGATACATACATAGACATGTGTACTATGATATATACTTGGTGATGTGTACTATGATATATACTTGGTGATGTGTACTATGATAAATACATGGTGTTGTGTACTATGATACATACATGGTGATGTGTACTATGATACAAACATGGAGATGGGAGCTATGATACATGCATGGTGATGTGAACTATCATACATACATGGTAATGTGTACTATGATAGATACATGGTGATTTGTACTATGATTCATACATGGGGATGGTACTATGATACAAACATGAAGAGGGGAACTATGATACATGCATGGTGATGTGTACTATCATACATACATGGTGATGTGTACTATGATAGATACAGGGTGATTTGTACTATGATTCATACATGGGGATGGTACTATGATACATACAGGGTGATGTGTAATATGATACAAATATGGAGATGGGAAATATGATACATGCACGGTGATGTGTACTATGATACATACATGGTGATGTGTACTATGATAGATACATGGTGATTTGTACTATGATACATACATGGTGATGTGTACTATGATACATACATGGGGAAGTGTACTATGATATCCACATGGTGATCTGTGCTATGATACATACAAGGTGATGTGTACTATAATACATACATGGACATGTGTACTATAATACATACATGAGGATGTGTACTATGATACATACAAGGTGATGGTACAATGATACATACATGGTGAAGTGTATTATGATACATACAAGGTAATGGTACTATGATACATACATGGTGATGTGTACTATGATACATACATGGTGAAGTGTACTATGATACATACAAGGTAATGGTACTATGATACATACATGGTGATGTGTACTATGATACATACAAGGTGATGTGTACTATGATACAAACATGGAGATGGGAACTATGTTACATGCACGTTGATGTGTACTATGATACAAACATGGTGATGTGTACTATGATTCATACATGAGGATGTGTTCTATGATACATACAAGGTAATGGTACTATGATACATGCATGGTGATGTGTACTATGATACACACATGGTGATATGTACTATGATACATACTAGGAGATATGTACTATGATACATACATGGAGATGTGTATGATGACATATACATCGTGATGTGTACTATGATACATACATGGGAATGTGTACTATGATACATACATGGAGATGGGGATGTGTGCTATGATACATACATGGACATCGGTGCTATGATACATACATACTTGTGATGTGTGCTTGGTGATGATATGATACATACACGGTGATGGTACTTTGATACATACATGGTCATGTGTACTATGATACATACAAAGTAATTGTACTATGATAGATACATGGTGATGTGTGCTATGATACATACATGGCGATGTGTACTATGATACATAATTGGAGATGTGTACTATGAAATATACATGGAGATGTGTAGTATGATATATACATCGTGATGTGTACTATAATACATCCATTGGGATGTCTACCATGATACATAGAAGGTGATGGTACTTTGATACATACATGGTGATGTGTACAATGATACATACATGGTGATATGTACTATGATACATACATGGACATGTGTACTATAATACATACATGAGGATGTGTACTATGATGCATACAAGGTGATGGTACTACGATACATACATGGTGAAGTGTACTATGATACATACAAGGTAATGGTACTATGATACATACATGGTGATGTGTACTATGATACAAACATGGTGATGTGTACTATGATACATACATTGTGATGTGTACTATAATACAAACATAGTGATGTGTACTATGATACATACATGGTGATGTGTACTATGATACATACATGGGGATGGTACTATGATACATACATGGTGACGTGTACTATGATACATACATGGGGATGTGTACTATGATACATACAAGGTGATGTGTAAAATGATATATACATGATGATGTGTACTATGATACATACATGGGGGAGTGTACTATGATACATACATGGAGATGTATTATGATACATACATGGTGACGATGTGCTATGATACATACATGGGGATGTGTGCTATGATACATACAAGGTGATGTGTAATATGATATATGTATATATACATGGGAAGTGTACTATGATATATACATGGTGATGTGTACTATAATACATACATGGACAAGTGTGCTATAATACATACATAGTGATGTGTACTATGATACATACAAGGTGATGGTACTATGATACATACATGGTGATGTGTGCTATGATACATACAACGTAATGGTACTATGATACATATTTGGTGATGTGTACTTTGATACATACTTGGTGATGTGTACTATGATAGATACATGGTGTTGTGTACTATGATACATACATGGATATGTGTACTATGATACATACATAGCGATGTGTACTATGATATATACATCGCTATGTGTACTGTAATACATACATGGGGATGTGTATTATGATACATACAAGGTGATGGTACTATGATACATACATGATGATGTGTAAAATGATACATACATGGTGATATATACTAGGATACATACATGGTGATATATACTATGATACATACATGGAGATGTGTGCTATGATATATACATGGTGATGTGTACTATGATACATACATGATGATATATACTATGATACATACATAGACATGTGTACTATGATATATACTTGGTGATGTGTACTATGATATATACTTGGTGATGTGTACTATGATAAATACATGGTGTTGTGTACTATGATACATACATGGTGATGTGTACTATGATACAAACATGGAGATGGGAGGTATGATACATGCATGGTGATGTGTACTATCATACATACATGGTAATGTGTACTATGATAGATACATGGTGATTTGTACTATGATTCATATATGGGGATGGTACTATGATACAAACATGAAGAGGGGAACTATGATACATGCATGGTGATGTGTACTATCATACATACATGGTGATGTGTACTATGATAGATACAGGGTGATTTGTACTATGATTCATACATGGGGATGGTACTATGATACATACAGGGTGATGTTTAATATGATACAAATATGGAGATGGGAAATATGATACATGCACGGTGATGTGTACTATGATACATACATGGTGATGTGTACTATGATAGATACATGGTGATTTGTACTATGATACATACATGGTGATGTGTACTATGATACATACATGGGGAAGTGTACTATGATATCCACATGGTGATGTGTGCTATGATACATACAAGGTGATGTGTACTATAATACATACATGGACATGTGTACTATAATACATACATGACGATGTGTACTATGATACATACAAGGTGATGGTACAATGATACATACATGGTGAAGTGTACTATGATACATACAAGGTAATGGTACTATGATACATACATGGTGATGTGTACTATGATACATACATGGTGAAGTGTACTATGATACATACAAGGTAATGGTACTATGATACATACATGGTGATGTGTACTATGATACATACAAGGTGATGTGTACTATGATACAAA